TCCCAACTCCGCGCTCTTACGCGGAGGCCGTAGAGGGTCCCTACTCGTCTCAGTGGCAGGCAGCTATGGATGCAGAGATGGCTTCCTGAAAGTCCACAGGCACCTACGTTGACGCAGTCCCCCCTCCTGGGGCGAACATCGTCAGTGGCATGTGGATCTTCAGGGTGAAGCGGCCGCCGGGCTCTCCACCTGTCTTCAAGGCGCGGTACGTTGCTCGTGGCTTCAGTCAGCGGCAGGGAGTTGACTACTTTCAGACCTTCTCTCCCACCCCGAAGATGACCACTCTTCGGGTGCTGCTGCACATAGCCGCTCAGCGCGACTACGAGCTTCACTCTCTCGACTTCAGCACTGCGTTCCTGCAGGGTAGCCTGCACGAGGAGATCTGGCTGCGCCGTCCACCTGGCTTCACTGGGACTTTCCCTCCTGGCACCCAGTGGAGCCTCCGTCGGCCAGTCTACGGTCTCCGCCAGGCACCGCGTGAGTGGCACGACACACTGAGGACTACGCTTGCGGCTCTTGGGTTTGCTCCTTCTACTGCTGACCCGTCCTTGTTTCTGCGCACCGACACTTCTCTGCCGCCGTTCTACATCCTCGTGTACGTCGACGACTTGGTCTTTGCCACAGCGGACACTGCTGGACTCGCCTACGTGAAGTCCGAGCTGTTGAAGAGACACACGTGCACAGACCTGGGTGAACTGCGCAGCTACCTTGGCTTGCAGATCACTCGGGACAGAGCACGCCGCACCATTACCTTGACTCAGTCACACATGGTGCAGCAGGTCCTTCAGCGCTTCGGCTTCACGTACTCCTCGCCTCAGGCCACTCCTCTGTCTACTCGCCACTCGCTCTCAGCTCTGCCTTCGGATGAGTCCGTAGAGTCGAGTGGCCCGTACCCAGAGCTTGTTGGCTGCCTCATGTACCTGATGACCTGCACACAACCTGACCTTGCATACCCTCTGAGCATTCTTGCACGCTATGTTGCTCCTGGGAGACACCGACCTTGAGCACATGGCTGCAGCGAAGAGGGTGTTGCGCTACCTGTGCAGTACGTCGGGCATGGGGCTAGTGCTTGGAGGGCGGAGTCCAGTGGTCCTTACAGGGCACGCGGACGCTTCTTGGGCTGACGACCAGGCTACGCAGCGGTCGTCACAGGGTTACACCTTCAGTCTTGGTTCCGGCTCTGTCTCGTGGCGGGCTACTCGCTCGTCTTCGGTTCTCAGCTCCAGTTGTGAGGCTGAGATCTACGCTGGGGCCATGGCTGCACAGGAGCTTCGCTGGCTCACCTACCTGCTGACTGACCTTGGAGATCCGCCTCGTTCTCCTCCAGTGCTGTACGTAGACAACAAGGCCATGCTGGCCTTGTGTCGAGAGCAGCGTCTGGAGCACAGAACGAAGCACATTGCTCTTCGCTACTTCCTTGCTCGTGAGCTGCAGCAGCGTGGACAGTTGCGGCTTGCGTACGTGGCCTCTGAGGCCAACACTGCTGATGTGTTCACCAAGGCACTCGCGCCTTGTGACCATCAGCGCTTTTGCACCCAGCTGGGTCTTGTGCCTGTCTTGCCTCACTTGCTCTCCTCTTGACTTCACTTGTACTGTGACATATATATATACCTGCTCTTGCTTGTCTAGTTTTATATATATATGTCTGTACTCCTGCATGTGAACTGGCCTTTGGCCCTGCTCTTGTGCTCGGACTGTGTGGTGACGTTGTGATCCACCCTGAGCTTGCTCTGCTTTGCTTTACTTGACTGGTCTTGTGACCCCTTGTTCTCCCCCACTTTGCCTATGGGGGTGTGTCAGATTTATATGACATAGTTGCTGTAGGCTATAGTGGGGTAGCACATATGGGGTACAGGGTTTCTAGGGTTGTATTTGTACCCAATCTTTCCTTAGTCATTTCATTCCTGTTCACTTGTTTCACATCATAATCAGTAGGAAACCCATGCGGACCAAATTAGCCCCATTCTTAGCGAACCATTCTGTGAAGAGCATTTGTTGTTCATTCAAATCTGTTTGTTTTCTCACGCGGACCTGCGAGGATTTCAATGTCGTAACTGCGACACTGTTTTGCTAAACAATGGAAATGTTATGCCGTGCGAGGTGCGAATCATAAGTTTACGCTGAAATTTAAACTCTCGATAAACTAGGTCGTGGTGACGAAATCGGTTTCTTGATTGTTTTTTTTTTTTTTTTACACAGCTCACTCGATTGTTAACTGCGGCACTGTTCGGCAGCACTATCACTTTCGTGTTGTCTCTTTGTGCCAGCAAGTTGGCAGTTGGTCTGTGGGCTTGGTACAGTGTACATTACAGTTTCGGCTGGATTTCTGCACCAAGACTTCCGGTGAGCTGTTGCCTTGCTGGCTAGCCGAGGCGCTGTGCGAAAAAACAGGCGCGAAACTGTAGCAACACTCTGACTCTGTGCTTCGCAAAGTCGACTCGGTTTGCCCTGCTGGCTAGTTGCGCGACAAAAGAGCCCACCATCGATGTGCAGCGTTGACAGCTGGATGTTTCTGACTGTTGACATGTATGTGTCAGAACTTATATTTGTAACTGCTTGTAGCTGTAGTTAATGTAGTTATTATAAACTTGTTTGGTGGTGCACCTTCTTTGTTTCCTTTGCTACATGTTCTTCGAAACCTATAGTGAAACCATCCTTTCCAACTTTCTCGACTATCTCACCCTTGGCACAACCTACTCGACATCCTAGTTGGGCCTAGGCTCCTAAGCCTAGGCCCTAGTTAAACTTGATCTTTCTCGTTCATTTTCACATGGATTCAGAGCAAGTTTCGTCCTGGCCTGTGGGCCCGCCTAATGCTTCCGCTGCTATCTTTTCGGTCGCGCGCCTTGGGCGCATGGCGATTTTCGTATTGTCCCGCCCCCGGTTGGCGAGTGACTCCTTTTCTGCCCGTCGCGCGCCCCGTGGCACGCGACGGTGCCCTAAACCTGCCCGTCGTGCGCCCCGTGGCACGCGACGGTGCCCTGCTCGTCGTGCGCCCCGAGGCACACGACGGTGCCCTTACCTTAAACTTGCCCGTCGTGCGCCCCGTGGCACGCGACGGGCCTCTCCGCACCTGCTCTCCCTGCAGCCGCCCCTGACCTACCTACGCCGACACATTGTAGCCGCTCTGCCGCTTTCTTCCCGCCCACCCCCTCCTCCTTTGTCTCCCTGCAGCCGTGGGGGGGAGGGTATGGGGGTGGCGGGTGTTGGATTGTTGGGTCGTATACTTCCCTTCCCCTCCTCCTCCTTTCGTTCCCACTGCTGCAGCTGCCGCTGGGGGGGAGGGTGTGAGGGTGTGGGGGAGCAGGGGGAGTGGCACCGGGGTGGCGGGTGTGAGGCAACCAGCAGCCGTCCCTCCACCTCTCCTCTCTTCTCCCCCTCTCTGCTGCTCCTGCAACAGTGTGGGGGAGGGGAAGGAGGAGGGTGAGGAGATGGAGGGGGTGACCAGCCAGAATTAGCCCGCCTGCAGTACCTGCTGTTGCTTGTTTATTATTCTGCTTGTGTACCCATGCAGGCTATAGTCTGCACAAACTCCTGCTGCAGGCAGTTATGGGGGAGTGTCAGAACTTATATTTGTAACTGCTTGTAGCTGTAGTTAGTGTAGTTATTATAAACTTGTTTGGTGGTGCACCTTCTTTGTTTCCTTTGCTATATGTTCTTCGAAACCTATAGTGAAACCATCCTTTCCAACTTTCTCGACTCTCTCACCCTTGGCACAACCTACTCGACATCCTAGTTGGGCCTAGGCTCCTAAGCCTAGGCCCTAGTTAAACTTGATCTTTCTCGTTCATTTTCACAGTATGTGCATCGATCAAAATGTGGGCAGGGTCAATGTATTTTGTTGCGTGATTGCACGGTGCGGAACTGCAGAACCTTCTAAACATTCTTCTGTTCGACTCAAAAAAGATGTCGAAAAAAAAAAAAACGTGTGCTGTATCTGCCCGTCCGATCTGACCGGCAGTTCGCTAAAGTCCAGAAACACCGACGTCTTCTGTCCACGTCATTCCGACCTCATTCCGTTTTGCTAAACCGAGTCAGAAAATACACAACTTTCTGTACCGTTGGGGAAACCGCGCCATGCCCTTTTGGTCGCAAATTCGCCAGTAGCCACATTAACAGACACTTTCACGCACCGCTTGTGCTCACAGTATCCCGCCTAAAAAGAATCACAACGGTAGAAGCCAACGGGTAGCCTTTACTTCCCTGCTCTGTACCATATGCCATGTGTGCTCCAGCTATTCCTGGTGTTATGTGCTTTGGACGGGGTAATTATAAAAAAAAAAATAGTACTGCCCCACAGCCATCAATCCCGACCTTTCGTTTCCATCGCTGTCCCCACTCTCTCTCCACCAGCGGATCCTCGTCCCCTCATGGCTGAACTCCCTCGTGAGTTTCTGGAGGGTCGTGCCAAGAGGAAGAAGAACATCCCTGCTAAGTTTCGTTATTACGAAACAGAGTACCCTGGTTCACGCGGGCGAGCAGTAGCACATGGAGAGTTAAGCAAAGCACAGAAAACTACTCAGGCAGGTACACCAGTCAACCCTGCTCCCTTGGTTGGTAGTCCTGCACCTGCCGCAAGCGGTCCTCCAACGGTTGCAAGTGATTCAGCCGTGGTAACTAATGGTGCTACCGTAGTTGGATTTACTACAACGAACGTCAGCGCAGAGAATGTGATAGGTTCTCAGGCAGGACGGCTCTCATGACAACCTTGCTGCCTCAATGGTGCGAATCCTCCTTGTTGTGGTCTGAGTCATCAAGAGCTTGCAGCATTCGTGCCATGACACTATGCTTCACGATTTGAGGCATAGCGTCACGTTTGTTGCTTGCACGGTATGCCCTCTTTACGAGAGGTTGGTGAAAAAACTCGAACATGTTGGCGTTGTAGTGAACGGGGACACCGGAGCGTCGAATGTCATCGACCAAATGCACAAGGCCGTGCACCTTGCCGATGTTGAATTCGGATGCTTGAAATTCGCCAAACACATCCTTCAACATTGGAATCAATCTGACAAGAGACGAGAGGGAGGAGAAAGGGAGGAGAGAGATGGGAGTGAGAAGGGTTGAGAGGGAGGACAAAGGCAGGGCATGGATGGGTGCGAGGACAGAGAGGACAGAGATGGGAGTGGAGGGATGAGAGAGAGGAAGAAGGGAGGACAGAGATGGGAGTGGAGGGATGAGAGAGAGGAAGAAGGGAGGACAGAGATGGGAGTGGAGGGATGAGAGAGAGGAAGAAGGGAGGACAGAGATGGGAGTGGAGGGATGAGAGAGAGGAAGAAGGGAGGACAGAGATGGGAGTGGAGGGATGAGAGAGAGGAAGAAGGGAGGAGAGAGATGGGAGTGGAGGGATGAGAGAGAGGAAGAAGGGAGGAGAGAGATGGGAGTGGAGGGATGAGAGAGAGGAAGAAGGGAGGAGAGAGATGGGAGTGGAGGGATGAGAGAGAGGAAGAAGGGAGGACAGAGATGGGAGTGGAGGGATGAGAGAGAGGAAGAAGGGAGGAGAGAGATGGGAGTGGAGGGATGAGAGAGAGGAAGAAGGGAGGACAGAGATGGGAGTGGAGGGATGAGAGAGAGGAAGAAGGGAGGACAGAGATGGGATTGGAGGGATGAGAGAGAGGAAAAGGGGAGGACAGAGATGGGAGTGGAGGGATGAGAGAGAGGAAGAAGGGAGGACAGAGATGGGAGTGGAGGGATGAGAGAGAGGAAGAAGGGATGAGAGAGATGGGAGTGGAGGGATGAGAGAGAGGAAGAAGGGAGGACAGAGATGGGAGTGGAGGGATGAGAGAGAGGAAGAAGGGAGGAGAGAGATGGGAGTGGAGGGATGAGAGGGAGGATGAAGGAGGGACAGAGACAAGGCACAATCTAGGAAACAGATGGGGTTGAAAAGTGGTGAGATAGATATAGTGACAGGTTCCGATTTTTGAAGAGATCAGATTGAACAAGGTAGGGATTAGATTGAGATGTGATAATAGAGAGAAAGAAAGGTAAGACCGATATGGGAGAGATAGGAATTGCAGAAATGGATGGAAGGTGTGGGCACGGAGTGGAATGAGAACAGAAACCAATTGGGAGAGAAGGCAGGGCAGAAACTCAGAGTACCTTTTGATTGCCTGGTCAAGTTCTTGGAGGGTGTTATCCGTATGGTACCACCTCCTGGAGGCCAGCATGTAGAGGTCGACAAATGCAGCTACAACATCCACAATTTTTTTATCTACACGCCCGGCAAGGACAATCGTGCACACTTGCATGATGGCACGGTGTTCAAACGCCTGAAACTTTGCAGCACCTGCAAAGTAACCACCCTTCTCTCCACCCGGTAGCCGGAAACCACTGATTCGAGTATCACGTGCTATTGTTTGCAGGACCAAATCTAGCTCTCTCAGCACGTGTGTTTCCTTCCTCTTTTTTAGCATGGCTCTGATGCAGGAGATGATATGCATGAAGATGCCAAGATCAAGAGCATGCATGATCTCGATAAGAAGTGCCCTGTACGGGTTGCCGACATCCGTTCCGCCCAAGGCCAACCCCCATATTGCTGCCTGTTGAGGAACAAAGGGAGGGGAAAGTGATGGGTTGCGAAAGGTATATCAGAAGAGGGGACCTGGCCTGGAAACTGAAAGGGATAGGGGTTGAGTAGGGCATGGGTGACAGTGAAGAGATGCTGTAAATCTCTGTCCTCCCATCTCCCTCCCTCTCATCCCTCCTCACTCCCATCTCTGTCCTCCCTTCTTCCTTCTTCTCTTCCCTCCTCACTCCCATCTCTCTCCACCAATCTTCCTCCCTCTCTTCCCTCCTCACTCCCATCTCTCTCCTCCCTTCTTCCTCCCTCGCTTCCCTCCTCACTCCCATCTCTGTCCTCCCTTCTTCCGTCTTCTCTTCCCTCCTCACTGCCATCTCTCTCCTCCAATCTTCCTCCCTCTCTTCCCTCCTCACTCCCATCTCTCTCCTTCCTTCTTCCCTCTGATCCATTCTCTCTCCAGTCCTCGTCCTACCTTCTTCCTCACTCTCATCCCTCCTCACTCCCATCTCTGTCCTCGCTTCTTCCTCCTCATCCCTCCTCACTCCCATCTCTGTCCTCACATCTTCCTCCCTGTAAATCCCTCCTCACTCCCATCTATATCCTCCCTTCTTCCTCCCTCTCATCCCTCCTCACTCTCAACTCTATCCTACCTTCTTCCTCTCTCTCATCCCTCCTCACTCTCATCTCTGTCATCTCGTCTCCCTCCCTCACCTTGACTGGGTGGATGCTCATGGCTTTTGCGGCATCATTCCGCGCAGTAAGTGTCGGTATTGCAAGTAACTCTTCGACCTTCTCCGCCTGATCCGCCTCCGTTCGGTACTCGGATGAAATCTCCATGTTGCTTATGTCCTCTCTTCGCACTAGACACCTGTGACACGGATATTGCGCTTGGTGGCTTGCAAAAGTGTCTGCCACCTTACATGCCTCCGGTTGGTCTGCAACGTAGGCATATAAGGCTAGGTAGACCTCATGACGTTCACCGAATGGGTCACGCATGATGATCCCACTGTTTGTGGAGTACCAAACAAAGCGAGGGGTGGGGCAGGGAAAAGGTGTACGGATTCAGCATGCGAGAGAAGGGGGAAGGCATGTGTCTGATGGACTAATGAGTTAAGAAGTGGTAGAAGAGAGAGAGAGAACGAGGGGTAGGAGGAAGAAGGGGGTTATCTGCATGATGTTCTTGTGTGGAGTGTAATGTGTGTGATAAGCAAGATAGAATGTGATGGAGAGGGGGTTGACTGAAAGGGGTGGGATGTGGGATGGGTAGGCTTGTCATGAATGTGTGTGTGATGGTAAAACGAAAGCATAGGTACAGTATAAGGGAGGTCATGAGACAGAGAGTGTTGTTGTTCGTTCTAAACACGTTCTTGGAGTGTGTAGGCAGGTGAGGGATTAAAAACAGAGGAACACGCATGACATTACATCTGATTTTGCCACGGGATGAAAATCTACTGCTTTGGAAAGAGTAGGTGGCAAATGGATCAAATGTACAAATTACCAACCTTTTAGAAGCCTCTCGGACGTCTTGCATGATGCGATCCATGGCTTTTTGAAACACCGCGCGGCGCGTCTCCTTCCCCGCTTCGGTTTTTGCATCCACGCCAGTCAAGGGTGGCAGCATGGCAATCATGATATGGCCATGCGGCTGCCATCTGTTCTTGACTGTAATGTTACCCAGCGTCATGTACACCGGATGCCCAACTACTCGTCCGTCAGTACTGAGGTTAGTCGCATCGCTGTATAGTATCATGGGCACCAGTATAGCACCTCTAGGCAGTAACGCTTGTGTTTCAATCCACATGTTCCCGGTCTCTGGTCCCGCGTAAATACGCTGCTTTCCGTCCGCTGTGTAAATTGGTTTCGCCCACAGGACAAATCCCTCATGATTCTTACGCTCCAAAAATAGCGACTCTACTGCCTTGGAGAGTGATGTTAGATAGAGTATAGCGACGTGGTTACGGTTGTGACTAACATCTACCGACTCCCACTCCTCTATTCCTGTCATTTGCACAAGCAATGACTTGGCATACTTATCCATGCCTGCTCTATTTGTATTGCTGGGCCTCTCCGCTGTAGGCCTGCAAAACAGTGCTAAAATGTTGTTGGTGTCCGTAGCAGACAAACCCATGCCACCATTGCAACTGTGGACGACCTTCAGAAACGCTTTGTCAATATCAAACGTCGGTACACCTGCTGGTAACTCAGATGGAAATTCATACCGTGGCAACTCTGGGATCTCATCTGCTTGCTCTGACTGAGCGCTCCTGGGTGCTACATCTGTCCTCACCGTGTCTGCTGGCAGTGCTGTTGCTGAGCCTGAGTTCTGCTCACTCTGATCCGCCTGTCTACGTCTTATATGCGCGATCAAATCTTCCACCTCCTCCTGCTCACGTGGTCGTTTTCTGCAAGCCTTTCTATGGTTCTCATATGCTCTCCCACTTGTGAACGACCTATTACAGCACACGAACAGCATGATGCCTTACAATATCTACGTCCGCCGCCATGGAAACCAACTATATAGTAGAGCTGAGAACCCTCAATGCAGGCCTTTCAGGCCTCCTATGAAATCTCCAGATTCGGATGCTTATGTCACCGCTAACGCCACCAGCTCTCTCGCCTCTCGTTGCAGGCAAAACTGCAGCTCAATGAAGCACAGGTTCAATCTGAGAATTGATATAGACCTGGAAACTAACTAAGCCAGGAGATTAAGATAAATTATAAGTCCAACAAGCTCCACACAATCACTAAGCTGAGAATAGGCGCCCCACGAAAGGTCTGCACGTAGGCTTGAAGAGCGCTCTGGAATATGTGTAGTTGCATCTATAAATTTAAAAAGCATTCGGATACAAAACTGTTCTTTAGCTGGCCAAGCCATGGAAACACCGTCTCGTTGTATCTGATCGCTAGGCACCAGAGGCAGATCGGGTGATCTAACTGGCGCCATTACGCTGCCAATGAACTCTGAAACGGGCGGTAATTATGGCTGTTGAAGGAAACTAAGTGCAGCGTAACGTTAACAATCACAACTTTTACTGCAGTCAGGGCCGTTGGAGGATGAGTCTTTGGAAGAAGGTGAGCAAGCATGTGGTGTTTGTCGCCACACACAGTGTTGTCCAGGTCGCAAGGGTTGGGAGTGCGACTGTGGACGAATCATCTTGGCGCTCTGCACCAACGACGGTGTCGCGCGAAATATCGTAATGTACAATGCGACCTGTTATGCGAAAATCGCATGATGCGACACCAGGAAAGGCAAAATTCGCAGGCAGGGAAAAAACCGCAGGTCGCGATAGCTGGCAGGACGAAAATCCACGTACAGACCAATCGTAGCCCTTAGCGACCCCCAGGTTTGTCGCCAACGAATGATGACTGGCAAGGAACCCAGTTTTCGTCATAAGGGTGTGCCAGGTTGGAATATTGCAACTGTAAATATTGTGGCAAGTTTCTCTCTAAACATGTTGTTTCTAAATAATAAATCACCGAGCACTGTGATAGCATAACCAGACGTAAAAATCCTATGAATTTTTTAAAATTATTTTGTACTTGAAATCTGTAACAATAAAACATTTTTTTCATGCACAAATTCCGTAATGCAGGCACTGATGAATTTCCTCTGAACTTTGATACTATACTAAAATAATTACTTGCGTAGCTGTGCAATGACTTTTTGTACCATCTATCGAGACCTTAACTCTATACGCGGGATCTGTGAGTTCGCCAATGTGGCACCAGCTGCCCGCTTCTGAGATTGTTGTTGACCATAGGCAGGCAGATTTCGTGTGCTGCCTGCGCGCAATTTCGTAGCCAATGCAACTCGCCGGAAGCATGCGCGCCAATTCCCAGATCTGTGCTCGCGCAGCATTCCGGAAACCATCATCAGCGAAATCACTACTCGCAACCTGCGAGGCAACAAATGTAAATGTGCGATGAACGTGCTCTTCACAGAGGCAGTCAAAGCTGCTGGAGAGCAAGGCCAGGCGCCTTGCCACTGAGACCGACCGCCTCTGATCGCCACTGACAGTGAACGCGACTCATCTCATGCTCCTGGATTGTTTCTCCTGCTTCTGCTGCTGCTTCTGCTGGTTTCACTACTGCTACATCCACTCCACTGATAGGGCTGGACCGCTGCTGCATCCGATATGTCTGGGTTGCTGCTACATCTGATTCAATGGAGCTGCTGCATCAGCCCAAAGAGTTGGACGGATACCGGACATTGATTGTGGTTGGGATGAGATGATGTACCAGTTGTATGAAGAGGTTCTGTCACATGTTATGAGAACTTTTATATAGTTATCCTGCTGCTTTCGGACGAAGCTGTATCATTCTCAACTCTGAAACCTGTGGACCTTGGGGTTTTGAAGGGAAATAAATGTTTTATTGACAATATGACATTGCAAGGAAACAGAGAGCACGCAGCTGCATCACTGACCACTGAAATGGTGAGGGATCATTGCCAGCATCTCATTGCATCGCATCGCATCGCATCGCATCGCATCTCATCTCATCTCATCGCATCTCATCTCATCTCATCTCATCTCATCTCATCTCATCTCATCTCATTGCATCTCATCTCATCTCATCGCATCTCATCTCATCGCATCTCATCTCATCTCATCGCATCGCATCAAGCATCTCATCACCGTGGATCCTATGATGACCATGGATCCGCCTGCATCAGGGCTGCCCAGGCTTTTATTCACTGCCTTGCACGCCAAGCCACTATGCCACAGTAGCTGCTTTATTCGCAAGCACTCTGCGTGCGCCACACCTCGTTACAGAGCATCCCGTTACTAGCAGCAGCCATCGCGCCTCGCCTGCAAACCCATCTCGCCACAACGTCTAGAAGTTTTTGCTGCTCTGGTAGATTTTTCCGCCGCTCCACTTGCTCGGAATCACGCCGTCCAGCACCACCTGCTTCCCGCTGCCCGACACGCGCACGCTCACCGCGCGCCCCGCATCCACGACGCCCGTGGCGGGATTCAGCACCCACGTCGCGCCCCATCCGTTGTTCGTCATGCTCTTCCACTCTTTCCCGTCCTTGGATATCTCCACCTTCTCCACTCGTCCGCGCCTCGCCGCTCCGAAAATCTGAAGCGCGAAATTGTACTTGCTGGCATCGGGCAGGAGTCGGACCGCCATTCCGCCGCTGCTAGAGCAATCCACCTGATCGTACGTGACCTCCACTTGCCCGCCCTGGCCGCCCACGAGTTTGTTCCACGCGGGAGTGTCGAGGTTGAAGTTCTCGCCGGCCTGCCCGATCGCTCGCACTTTCACGGAGCCGCCCTTGCATGCGCGGCCCGTGCAGGTCTGTTGCTCCCCGAGCTGCTGGTCCACCATCTGCTGCTCCTCAATCCGCTCCTCCCCTATCTGCTGCTCCCCACTCTGCTGCTTCCCTGTCTGCTGCTCCCCAATCTGCTGCTCCCCTGTCTGCTGTACTCCATCCATACTGCTCTCGTCCTGCAGCTGCTCAGTCTCAAGGCGCTGCCCGTCGGTGATCTCCACAGACGGTGGCACCTCCATCCCCCCCTCACCAACGGGCTGCGCCGTGGAAGACGAAGAGGAGGGCGGAGCACGTGCAGGAGGGATGGAGGGTGTAAGGGGAGATGGAATAACAGGAGGAGGAGGGGAAGGCAAGGGGGGTGAGGAGGAAGAAGGCGGAACAGGGGGAATCACACGAGGGTAGACGGAAGGCGGAGGTGGGGTGGGGACCGAGGTAGGGACATAGGGCATAGCAGGAGGTGCGACCACCTCCTCCTCCTCCTCCGCCTCCTCGAGAGTGATCGGGAAGAGTGAGGGAAGGGGCTCATAGGGCATCGAACGCCCCCCATGCTCCTGCCGATGCCAAGCCTTCCATCCTGCTAGGGACATGGTCTCATAGAACACAGCTTCCACAGTGGTGATGAGGCGGTTGGACTCCAAGTCCAGCACGGTCCAGCCTTTGCTCGCAGCTGACACACCCAAGTGCAACCCCCAGCGAGCCTTAGGCGCCAGCTTCCCCCCACGCTGCGACCGTGGTACCATGTACTGCAGCATGCAGCCCCAAACACGCACCATACTGACATCAGGTTTGTGTCGAAAGGCGAGCTCGTACGGCGTCACACCAGAGGGTAGTGAGGCGTGCTCCACGCGGTTGCGCACCCAGACGGCCTGAGCCAACGCCAGGTGCCACCAGTGATGCTGCACACCCATGTGCAGCAACATCGTCCGCACCGCCTCCACAATGCTGCGCATCTCCCTCTCGGCCATCCCGTTCTGCTCCGGCGTGTACGGGCATGTGAGGTCATGGATGATGCCTTTACCGTCGAGGAAGAGCGTGAAGTCGTGCCCCAGGAACTCGCCACCCCGATCAGTGCGCAGCGCCTGCACCGTGGTCTTGCACAGTCGCTCTGCCGTCGGGAGCCACTTCTGGAACGCCGCCAGCACATCACTCTTCCGGGCCAAAGGGTAGGCCCAGACATATCGCGTCTTTCGATCCTTCAGCACCAAGAAGTAGCGGCTGCCGTCCTTAGCTGCTTCACGGAAAGGGCCACACAGGTCAGCATGCACCACCCCGAGCAACTCATCCTCCTCCTCTCCCACAGAAGGAAAGGTATGACGAGTGATCTTTCCCCCAACACAGGAAACACAAGGTATGCCTGACTTGCCCCCCTTCTCCAAATCCAAGCCCTTCACTGACCCGTGAGCCGCTGTGCGCTCGATGGCATCAATACCAACGTGTGCCATACGCGCATGCCACAGGTCCCCCTTAGACCGCACGCCCGTCGCCAAGGTACGAAGTGCCACCGTTTCGCCTTCCTGCTGCTGCGTCGAACACGGCTGGAAGTTCGTGCAGAGAACACGCCCCTTGAACTCCGCACGACCAAGAAGCGATCCATCTGGTGCTCGCAGCAAAGTCACATCCCCGGCATCCAGCAGCTGCACACCACTATCACGCAGCTGCCCAGCAGAGAGAAGACTCGCCTGCACTCCTGGCACGTACAGCACGTCCGGCACCAAGACACGCCTGCCCCCCTCTCCAAGAAGAGCGATTGTGCCCCGCCCCTGCACCTCCTGAAGCGCGCCGTTGAAGCCAGTAACCTGTTTAATACTGCCGCCGCTGCTCATCTCCACAAAGGCAGAACGATCTCCCATGAGATGGTGGGAGCATCCGCTATCAAGCAGCACGACGCTCGGGTTCGCCTTTACAGCAGCTGCAACAGCCTGTAAGGCCTCCCCGCCCTCAGGCTCTAGCACAACGAGAGGAGTCTGCTCCACAACGGGCTTCACCATCGCACATGATGATTGCCCGCTCCCCTTAGAGCCATCACCCCCCTTTCCGCTGCTACCTCCAGAACCCTCTCCACCGGTGTCTGCCTCCTTATCCGCCCGCTGCTGACAGTACTTAGCAACATGCCCTATTTGTCCACACACATAGCACTTCCCTTTGAAACCCCCTTTCCCCCCCTTCGGCTGGCCATCCTTACCCCCTTTCCACTTCTCCCCTCCCCCACTTAGCCCACCCCCATTCTTAGGCTGCTGCTGCTGTGCCGTAGTGGGAGGGGAAGGGAACGAATTCTGCTGGAATTGGGGCTTACCCTTCTTGGTAAAGACCTGGTTAGCCTGGGGAAGGAATTGGTCCTTTCGTCCCTCTGACGCCAGCGTACATTCCTCCTCGATGATGTAGCTAGCGAGGGTGTTCTCGTCCAACTCCTTGCGCACCTGCGGCAACTTCAGCATCCTGCGTAAGAGGTTGTACTGCTGCGGCAACCCCTTCACCACGTGAGTGATGTACGACGCCTGCGAGTAATCTACGCCGGCCATCCTCAGGTTCACTAGGATCTGCTGCGCACGGTTGCAATAGGACGTAGCGGACTCATGCTCTCCCATCTCGAGGTTAGTGAGCGCCTGCTCTAACTGACCGATGTACAGATCGTCCTTCGCCATGTACGTGCGCATAATAAACTGCCATGCCTGATAGCCGGCATCAACCTTCATGCGACACGCCTTAAGGGCGATCTGTACGGTTGGGGAGCAGCATCGGGAAATAGTGGTGAATGTCAGCAACTGCATCGCGCGGAACTGAGAGAGATGCGCAAGCGCACGCGCTGGTGGAATAGGGGTGGTGCCATCTATGAATCGCTTTAGCTGAGCGATCTCAAGCTGCGGCTCGATTGATTCTGTCCACGTCGACAGGTCGTGACGTCCTTCTAACGGACTAGTGACAACGATCTTGTCTGGAGTGAATCTGAAGTAGCCATAGTTGGGGGCTATTCCCTCGTCCCTCGACATCGATCCAATCGGGGTAACGCCCGGCATAGTCTCACTATCGAACTCTTCCGCAATTCCTCCCCCAGCAACGCTTCGCCGTCCTACATTCGCATGCTCTCGTGACGCTGCTGCACGATGAACACGCTCCTGTACACCGCCGACGCTAGCCGTACTAAACCGAGTTGGTCTTCGCAGGACCCCACGCGACATCAACCCATCAAACTCCTCGTCATCGCTATTTCCGCCATCGACAGCCATATCCCACGCACTAGTACCTCCCGCAATTTGCTCAACATTCTCTACACGTGGGGAAGGGTGCTCACGACGCCGACGCGAGCGCAATCCCTCCAACATTAGCTCGTATTCAATATCACTAATCTCACCACGAGAATGACGAGCCACGGGATCCTCCTCTAGAGTGCGCAAATTACCGGCCTCCACGTTCGCCTCCTCAGTACTCATCCTCTACGACGTCTCTATAAGGTACCACAAATTAAAATAAAGTGCCCCTTCCTTAAATCCCTCGTCTCGGGGTCACCTCACAAGGGTCCTCAGACGAGTGGTAATAAATTACCAAACGCCCTATCCTTGAAGTTCTCGCCGGCCTGCCCGATCGCTCGCACTTTCACGGAGCCGCCCTTGCATGCGCGGCCCGTGCAGGAAACTTCGTAGCACGTTCCGCAGCCCTTGCTGTTGTCAAACTTGCTCGCAGGCACCTGCGCAACCATGCCGAAGTACTGACTATCACGGAAGCGACCTTGGAAGTCGCGGTAGCACGTGCCTTCGCCGCTCAGGTCGGCGGAGTTAGCCTGAACGACGTCGGCATGAGTGAGGGCGAAAGCGAGCAGGACGATTCCGACGCACAGCAGGCTGGCGACCTTGGAAACGCGAGCCATCGAGAAAGGAGCAGCGAGGAAACCTAAGTTGGTAAAAGCGAGCTTGAATATCAGACAGAGGATGCTTTGAGGGCAGTGGTCGATTTCGATGATGATAGGGTGAAGCAGCAGGAAATTTACCGTATATAGCTGCGTGAGTGGTAGAGATTAGGCAGTTGGTTAAGACTTGGGGGGGTTCAGCGCAAAGTGCGGCTTCGAGTCGCCATGCTGAGGAATGGCAATAATTTTGAGCTCTTCGCGAAACGACCTCGTGGCGACAGTAACGAATGAGGTAAAAGGTTTGGTTGGCGGGCGGCTCGACGATAGGTTTCGAGAAGGGACGTTGTTTCGCCTGGGTGAGGCAAGAGGCTCGACAATTATTGGAGCTTCGCAACATTCCTCATTGGCTGTAAGGCGGATGAAACAGATATGCCAGATTTCAGATTGCACGAAGTCCGAATTCTGGTAACTTTGCATATGCGACGAGTCACAATCACAACTGAATTTCACAGGTGGTAACACAAGAATTACAAATGCCCTCAGCAACTGGCAGTCCAACTTCGTTACCGTCGCCACGCGGTCAGCTTGTGGGGAGTTCGAAATTATTGCCATCCCGCAGCACTGGTCCATCCCACAGCACTCGCCCATTACTAGCAAGGGGAGGAAATCGACATGGCGTCTCGAAGCCGCACTTCGCGCTGAACCCACCAAGTCGCAGCTTCTGAATCTCTCCCACTCATGGAACTATATAAATCTCCTGCTTCTTCACCCTATTATCATCGAAATCAACCACTGCCCTATAAGCATCCGCTGTCTCATATTCAAGCTCGCTTTTTCCAACTTCGGTTTTCGACCTGCTCCTTTTTCCCGATGGCTCGCGTTTCCAAGGTCGCCAGTCTGCTGTGCGTCGGAATCGTCCTGCTCGCTTACGCCCTCACTCCTGCCAACGCCGTTCAGGCTAACTCCGCCGACCTGAGTGGCGAAGGCACGTGCTACCGCGACTTCCAAGGTCGCTTCCGCGACAGTCCTTATTTCGGCATGGTTGCGCAGGTTCCTGCGAGCAAGTTCGACAACAGCAAGGGCTGCGGAACGTGCTACGAAGTTTCCTGCACGGGCCGCGCATGCAAGGGCGGCTCCGTGAAAGTGCGAGCGATCGGGCAGGCCGGCGAGAACTTCAACCTCGATACTCCCGCGTGGAACAAACTCGTGGGCGGCCAGGGCGGGCAAGTGGAGGTCACATACGATCCCGTGGATTGCTCTAGCAGCGGTGGAATGGCGGTGAGACTCGTGCCCGATGCCAGCAAATACAACTTCGCCCTTCAGATTTTCGGAGCGGCGAGGCGCGGACGAGTGGAGAAGGTGGAGATATCCAAGGACGGGAAAGAGTGGAAGAGCATGACGAACAACGGATGGGGCGCGACGTGGGTGCTGAATCCCGCCACGGGCGTCGTGGATGCGGGGCGCGCGGTGAGCGTGCGCGTGTCGGGCAGCGGGAAGCAGGTGGTGCTGGGCGGCGTGATCCCGAGCCAGTGGAGCGCTGGGCAGATCTACAAGAGCAGCAAAAACTTCTAGATGTCGATTTCTGCTGCTAGTATTGGAACGCGCTGTGATGAGATGGTGCTGGGCGGCGTGATTCTGAGCAAGTGGCGTGGCGGGGAGATCTACGAGAGCAGCAAGAACTTTTAGACGTTT